AACCATATCAGAAGCTTCCTACCATAATCCCAACCCATTACATGCTATCACTTCCTCTTGGGGATGATCCAGATTGGCTGTCCTTTTTTCCATAATGATCAGTTCCACAGTGACCTCTTTGGCAAAGGAGACTAGCTACAGAACCACTGGAAGCAAAGTCAGCCTACAGTTTCATATACTGGTGTTTTTGATCTAATCAGTATGATCTATTTGTTTGCTGAGGTCATATGAAATATAAATACATATTCATTTACTGAAGTAAAAGCAGATTTTATATAAATGTCCATCCACTGAGGTCAGGACAAGCACAACTACACAAAAAGGAGGAGAGTATACTGTTCCTCCAATTCACCTCATTCTTTAATACCTAATTCCTTGGAGCTTGGGAACTCAGCCAAGACAGGTTAGCATGGTTGTATGCAACTTATAAATAGCCGAAGACAGCCAGACCAGTTCAGCCTGTAGAGATCTTTAATGGGGAGGCTGATAGAATTTTTTATTGGAAGTCCTAATCCTTTGCTTATAGAGCCAGAAGCTGTAGTAGAGACAATGGCCACACATGCTTGATTTGTTTTGCCAGTCTCCAGATGCCTTTCTTTAGATGCATTCGCTGCATAAACATATATATGTATAGCATAAAGATTGACTTCATGAGTTGTGTTTGCTGTGTTTGTTTCCATAGAGAGGGACTGCATATGGTTTTATCTTTAGTAATACAGTTCTGAGTGTCTCAGTGGTCAGATCATACAGCTTTAGAGCATTAGCGTTGGCACTAGTAGATTTCAGTCAGTCCCAAGGTGGTGCCTGGATCCCTGCCAGGATCACCATTTGAAGTTCTGCTCCTCGCAAGAACATCCAAGGCAATGAACAAATTATTATTACAATGGATGGATACAGCATTCCATTGGATTTGTCCAACCTGGGGGCAGGCTGTTTTATTAGAGAACTGTACTGTCTTTTCAGGTGTGAATTCTTGTAGGTAAGGCCCCCATTGAGCCAGCAATTTGGGTAAAGTAGTAAGTAAGCTTTTGTGGTGTCTAATGCAGAGGTTCTCAAATTTTCTTGGTTCATAGTGTCCCTTGTGTTGTTGTAATTGTTTTCACAGTGTCCACAGGCTAAAAGAAATACCTAAAAGTTCCATTTATTAAGTGAAGTCAAACAACTCAATAAGTATTATGTTCATGTATTTTAAACATCTTAGTAACTGTTTTAAAAAATAATACACAAATTTTTAAAAAAATATTATTTCGTTCTTAGCCACAATAACTTGCTAATGGGATGTATGTGCCTATTGGACACTGCACAGCTTCTCAAAGCTTGGAATCAGATTGGATACCACCTTATTTGCTGATCCACATTGATTTTCACATATATTTGCTTTTTTATCACAATTGCTGAAAACACAGCCTTGTAAATACTTGATGTCATCAAACAGAATGTAACATGGCGTAACTGAAACTGCATTCTATTGCAAGCTAGTAGTTCATGCTATATCTGACAGATACCAAGTACATCTGTGTTTGTCCTAAAATTTTAAAATATCCCCTGGGAGCCCTGTGAATTTCTGCCACTGTTTGGAAACTGCAGGTCTGATAGATGGACAGGCACTTGTTTGTGAAAGTGGTTAAGGCCTTAGCAGCCAGGTTTGGCTCTTAATTGGAAGTAAAATTTCCATGTGATGGAACTTTTGGGGTTTTATCCTACCTATGGGACTTAAGTTCAGAGAGAATCCATTGCATGATAAGATAGGGGGTTGGAGAGTCATGGCTTTTCTTTCATTGAGACAGTCTGTCTCAGTCCCAGTGACAGGCTGGCAGTAGCAGCCCTGCAAAGGGCTTGTGTGCAGAAACCCAGTGATCAACAAATACTGCCTTAGTCTTGTTGCTGGAAATTCCAGCCAGCTGTGAGTTTGGTCACAGACATCTGTAATTTCTTAGGATCTGAAGGAGATTGGGAATTCCTGAGAGGCTTTATTTACTCTTGTCTGGACTGTTTCTAAGTCTTCTTCCTGTAGAGTTCACTGCTAAAATGACAACTTACAAGGTTTTCCGGTGTGACTGGTGGGAATAGGCACTACTCTTGTTCCTGTGGGTTCTTTTCCTGGCCTCACGTAGTTTCCTCACATGTGTAAGTTGGACAGTATTTTGCTCAATACTTGAGGGAAACCCTTTGAAGATCTCTGGAGCTCTCTGTGCAGCTACCTTCTTCTTAGTACCCTGTAAAAACCAAACTATCTTGGTAATTTCTTTGTGGAAAAAGTTTAAGCCATTAAATGGTTATAATGTCATTCAAGTTCTCTGTTTATTCTTTTTTTTTTTTAAGATTTTATTTATTTGACAGAGAGAGAGAGAGAGAGAGACAGCCAGAGAGGGAACACAAGGAGGGCAAGTGAGAGTGGCAGGAGCAGGGAGCCCGATGCGGGGCTCGATGCCAGGGCCCTGGGATCTTGACCTGAGCTGAAGGTGGCAGATGCTTAACCGACTGAGCCACCTAGGCGCCCCTCTATTTATTCTTGAGTTATTTTGGTAAAGTTTGTTTTTCTAGGTATTTGTCTTATATTTCAAATTTATTGGCCTAAAGCTAGTCATAGTAATCTCATGTTTTTTTTTTTTTTACACCTACCACATCTGTGGTTATATTCTCTTCTTTCATTCCCTATATATTTCTGCCTTCTCCTGTTTATTTTTGATCAGTCTCATTCATTTTAACCCTATTACTTCTTTAGAAACCCGAAGTAGTTTACTTTCTGCTGTTGAAACACTAATGGAAAATTAAATCCAAAGTCAAATAGGAAGGAGAAATGCAGTCTTGAATAAATAGATCTGTGTTAAACATTAAAGGAGATCCATCCTCTACTACTGAGAAGGCTCTCAAAAATTTGGTGCATTAAAAAATCACTTGGAGTCCTTGTTTAAAATGCAGATTACAAGACATCACCCCCAGAAATTCTTTGTCAGTAGTCCTGGCTAGGGTCCTGGAATTTGCGATTTCACTACACACCCAGATGATCCTGAAGTATGTGATTAGAAGATTACACTTTAAGAAACATACTCTAATTTGTGGTACAGATAAAAGATAAAGCCTTTAAAATTCCCCAGCGTTCGGGCATCTGAGTGGCTCAGTTGTTAAGTATCTGCCTTCGGCTCAGGTCATGATCCCAGGGTCCTGGGATCGAGCCCCGCATCGGGCTCCCTGCTCAGCGGGAAGCCTGCTTCTCCCTCTCCCACTCCCCCTGCTTGTGTTCCCTCTCTTGCTGTGTCTCTCTCTGTCAAATAAATAAAATCTTAAAAAAAAAAAAAATGCCCCAGTGTCTAGACCCCTGGCTGAATCTATTATACCTGTAGCTTTCTTAGCCACGTTCTTCCCTCACCTTTACCTCACCCTCAGCTAAGCCCTCTGAGTGAGACTTGCACTCATTCATCTCCTGCTAATGCGATATTTTGTATTAGTCTCTAGACTGTTTGTTTGTTTGTTTTAATTTCTAGTTTAGCTAGAGACCTGAGGTTAGCCTCAGGGCACCATCCAGATTCTAATGGATCGTACTATTTCCTGGACCAGTAGAAACTGGACCAAGTCACCTAGATTCTTGTTTCAAACTCCACAAATGGAACAGGATTTGAGAGCAGATTACAGAAAAGCACATCTCTCATAGTGAAGCCAGACCTCTTAGGGATTCCCCCATTTTATATGGAGAGATTCATCCTCAGGTAGCTCAATATCCAGATTAGATCAGTGAGTTAGCCAGGCATGGAGAAGAGACCATAGGACTCTAGGCCTTCTCTGGCATTCTAGGAGTTCCTCCGTGGCTCATGCTGGCACCAAATCTAAACATCCTCCCACTGAAGTTCTTGCCTTAACCTTTGTTGGGCAGGCTAGCAGATAGCCCTGGATGTCAGTCTCAGAGGAGTCACTGCAGCACTGATGATTTATTTTTATAAGGCCCTAGACCCAGCAAGAGGGTCTAGGGCCTTATAAAGATATAGTGATAGATGCCATATTCTTGCTTTCCAAAAACTGGATTTCCTTACATATATAGATCAATGTTCTGGGACAGACCGCAGATCAGTGTTCTGGGATAGACCAACTTGTTTCTTTATATGAACGTGAAGGATCTTTCTTTATATATCCAAGGATCTTTAAGATCTGATTGAGATTCTTTTTCTCCAATGAATAGGAATTGTTATGGGGCATCTGGGTGACTCAGTAAGATAAGCGTCTGACTCTTGATTTAGGCTCAGGTCATGATCTCAGGTATGAGATTGAGCCCCAGTCGTGCTCTGTGCTGAATGTGGAGTCTGCTTAAGATTCTCTCTCTCCCTCTGCCCCTCCCCCTGCTCTTGTGCATGCACACGCCCTCTCACTCACTCCTAAAAAAAAAAGAAACTGTCATAGTAAAAGGATAGGTTTTCTGTTGAGGACATTTAGTGTCCGAAGAGAAGATTAATTAGACACATAAATTTTTTCCTAACGTTTGCCAACTAATCATAGAATAGAATCATAAAGTGTTAGCTTTGTATGGGCATTTGGAGGTTATTTGAAGCAAACTCCCAGTGAAAGATACAGATAAGGAAACTGAATTCCCAAAACGATAGATGTTTTGTCAAAGATCATACTGCTGTTAAATGGCTGTAATGTGAGTACAAAAATGTAATTGTTCCGCTTTTCAAATCCCACCAAATTATGAATCTGATAGACTAAAACTGACAGATTAGATTACCAGTAGCTGTAAGACCAAATTGAGATCTTTACTGGGGCAGGGGCGCCTGGGTGGCTCAGTCGTTAAGCGTCTGCCTTCGGCTCAGGTCATGATCCCAGGGTCCTGGGATCGAGCCCCGCATCGGGCTCCCTGCTCAGCGGGAAGCCTACTTCTCCCTCTTCCACTTCCCCTGTTTGTGTTCCTGCTCTCACTATCTCTCTCTGTCAAATAAATAAATGAAATCTTTGGAATCTTACTAGGGCAGAGAGTATCTAACTAATAAAGCTTTATCTTCATGTTTCAGGTCTAAAAACTGAAAATTGTGTTGAGAACACAGGTAAGATATGCGTTTAAAGTATTATCTCTATAATGGGAATGTGACTTCTCCCGGGTATGGGTCAGAGCCACCCACCCCGTTGTCATTCTGCAGCCATCATCTTCTGAAGGCTGAGTTGTGCTGCTGCTTCTGCTGCTACAACCACCACCACCACCAACCCGTCAGGTGGAGGGCCCAGGAGCCTCTGTGGCTTGCGCTCCACCCCCAGCCCTGCCTGTAGCTGTTCTCTCAAAACACTGCATTTGCCTTGGGCTTGCAAGGACCATGCCACTCTCACCCTAGCCTGTCCTTGCAGGAGCCTAAGGACTTTTGAATGTCCCTACGTGATTTCTGTGCACAGTGCTAGATTCATATTCCCATATTTTGATATCTTAGGAAATAACATTTGGGAGACCAAAAAGGAAAGGAATATAGGGCATATGGCTGAAGGGAGACTGAGGGGACAGAATCGTAATGTGGTCTGTCTCACCTTCCTCAGGGAAAAATAGGAGGAGGTAGCAAAAACAATCTTCCTTAGAGGACCATGGGAAAGATTTGGGAAGATAAACAGGAATTCTAGGAGGAGGAGCTTTATCGGATAAGCCCAACAGATTTCAACCAAAGTTTCCAGAAAGTGCTTTAGGCTAATGCATGCTTTGGGTGGATCCCTTTAAAGATTTCCTTGTTAAAAGTTTGACTATAAAGTTCTTTCTAGCTGTGTTCCTGGCTGGTTTTTCTGTGAATTCTTCATGTAATTAAAATAAATCCATACCCATTTGTTTTTGAAATTGAAGTTTTATATTTCTCCTATTACTGTATTTTTAGAAGCCAACTTAAATCTTTTTTATTGATAAGCATTTAAAAACAGACTGAACCTGACATTTACTTACATCTGAGCATAGTACTAGGTAATGAAAACATGTTTGTATTTCAGAACATCATCTACCCATCTATATTTACAACCCTGGTAAGTGTGCTCTAATTTTTAAAAATAATCCTTACATGGATGTTTAGTATTTAGTAGCTCTTTCCTGTTTAGCAAATTCACTTCTTAGTGAAGAAAGAGTACTTTGCAGATATGAAGGTGTAACTTGAGAGAAAAGAGAAGGGGAAAAAAGAATTTATTCTGGGGGAAACAACTTTTTGTAAATGGGAAGGTTGTGTCTCTGGAGATCTGAATAATACGGAAACATTCTGGGGAGTAAGGTTGGTAGGACCTGAAGGGCTAGTTGCTCTTGACAGGCCTGAGGGCCTCTTATGTATAGCTCTGTATTCCGTCATTGAGATTAGCCTGTGTGGCACCACACATCCAGATGAAAGTAGAAAAGCTATGCATTTTCATCTGTCAAATATGCTGATGTTTGCGATCATTTGACTAAAATATCTGGGTGATGTGGATGCTTTCCCCATTAAGCTTCCACTTCCGTTGATATGGCTCAAATCACTTTTTTGCATAAGTTCCTTATGTGTTTGACCCATTTAGCTACAGTAAGTTTTTCTTTATTGAAGAGAGGAAAGCATCTGGCTTTTCCTTAAGTATGCAATTTACTTGATGTTTGGAAGATACTTCCTGCCTCGATGTGAAGCATTTTGTGAAGTTTCATGTGAAGCCCCTGAGGACTTGCTTAACAGCACTTCTTACTGGCCCATTGCAGCCACAAGTTTTACTGGTCATTTCACAGGGACTTCAGCTAACTCTTCAAGACGGACATTTTTCTACCTCATTGAGATCCCCAGGAGACTTGCTCTATGTGATGATTTTTCTTTTTCTTTTTTCCTTCTTTCTTTTTTTTTTTTTTTGTTATTTCTCCATAACATCCACAGGATAGTGGTTTCTTTTTTTTTTTAATTTTATTTTATTATGTTAATCACCATACATCATTAATTTTTGATGTAGTGTTCCATGATTCATTGTTTGCGTATAACACCCAGTGCTCCATTCAGTATGTGCCCTCTTTAATCACCATCACCAGGCTAACTCATCCCCCCCACCCCCTCCCCTCTAGAACCCTCAGTTTGTTTCTCAGAGTCCATAGTCTCTCATGGTTCGTCTCCCCGATTTTTCTTAATAAAGGGGGCCAGAGGAAGGTTCCAGCCCAATTTGGTGCATTTAGATTCTGGCTCACACTTAAATTTAGTAGCTTTAGTTTACTGGACATACCAAGTGGTTCTTTGTGGCTCTAATACCTGAAAATAGTTTGCTGTAACTATAGTTATTCTCAATTATTTTTTTTATCATTAAAATGGATAAGTTTCTTCTTATAACTTAGATGAGAAAGACCAGAACCTTGAAGACCCTGGTAAGACATTTTTGTAAACTCTGGGGGTTTTCATTTGCAATATAGCTCTCCTGGGATGGAAACAGGTAAGCATGACACAGTAAGGAAAAGTGGGAAGAAGGCAAAACCCACTTTAGCTTACTAGTTTGGTATATCAGAGCCCTCCTGAGTTATATAGATAGACCTTTATAAAGATGATGCAGTAGCCTTCTCTCTTACCTAACTCTCCTGTTTATCTCTGAGATGACCGACAGAGCATTTAGAGACATGATATGAGGAACTAGTTCTAAAGGGCATATTTTCTGTGCTCACTTTGGCAGCACATATACTAAAGAACATATTTTCTGCTTTTATGTTAGCTGTTATATGGATAGAGGAAGGTGTGACAAATTACAAACTCTTGTAACCTAGGATGTTGGGCAGGGGCATTAAAAAATGGTGTTATCTTTTTCTAAATTAAAATGTTTTCTGTATTTATTTCTGCTTCCAGCAATCTGAGTAATAGATGCTTTTAGCTATATCCGTCTGATTATTTGGTATATTTCGAAGTACAGCTCATTCCCAAGTTTTTGTTTTTGTCTCTTTTTGTAATGGTATTACTGAAATGTCCTCAAGGGTGCTGGGGCAGGGACACTCATAAATTAATGGTAAGATTATAAATTGGAACTTTTCTGAAGGACAGTTTGATGGTATGTATTACTAGCCTTAAAAAGTCCATACCTTTTAACCTAGTTATAACACATTTGTGTTACATCCTATATCCTTGTACTAAGGAAATGAAGATTTGTGTACAAAATGTTTACAGTGTGTGGTGGCCAAAATTTATAAATAACCTTAGTGTCCAACAGTTGGGTATTGTTAAATACTATCCATATAACGAAACATTAAACAAATCATATCTTTTTTAAAGATTTATTTATCCATTGTAGAGAGAGTGCATGCACGCATGTGAGCCAGCGGAGGGGCAGAGGAAGAGGGAGAGAAGCTGACTCTATGCTGAGCCACCCAGGTGCCCCTAAAAATCATATTTTTGAAAAATATGAGAAAGTGCTTATAATATAGTGGCAAGTAAAATATATTTAAAAAGCATATGAACTGTAATAGTTTATTTAAAAATTTCAAAAGAGGGGTGCCTGGTGGCTCAGTTGGGCATCCGACTCTTGATTTCAGCTCAGGTCATGATCTAAGGGTTGTGAGATCAAGCCCCACCTCGGGCTCTGTGCTTATTAGCAGGGAATCTGCTTATCTCTCTGTCTCTGTCTCTCTCTCTCTAAAATAAATAAATCTTAAATGTCGAAAGATATGAACTTCCAGTTGTAAGAGAAATAAGTACTGGAGATATAATATATAGCAGGATGAGTATAGTAGTATAGCAGTATGGTACACTTGAAAGTTTTTAAGAGAGTAGATCTTGCGAGTTCTTATCACAAGGAAAAAAGCCGTTTTTTTCTTTTTTAAAATATCTGTATGAGATGCTGGATGTTAGTTGTGATCATTTCACAATATATGTAGGTCACACTATGCTCTGCACCTTAAACTTACACAGTGCTGTCTATCAGTTACATCTCTCAAGGCTGGAAAAAATGCTTAAAAATGTATATGTACATATACATAGCAAAGAAATTGAAAGGAGATATACCAAAAATATTGAGGATGAGTAGCTCTGAGATCTGGGATTATGAGTAATTTTTAATGATTTCCTGTGTTTTTCTAAATTATCTGTAATTATAATGTGTTATGTAATCAAGAAATTTTATTTTTAAGAAATATGACAAATGTAGGTTGGAGTCTTTGGACTGATCTTAAAAAAAAAAAATCAAAAAGAGCTGTTTTGCTTAATCTAGGAGAGAGCCTGGGTCTCTAGCCATAGTTGTTTTCACCATAAGTCAGTCAAGCTCCAGTGGATTAAATTTTCTCCCCTTTTACCCTGGTCCCTGCCATCTCTCAAAGCTTTTAGTTTTTCACTGTAAATAGCCATATAAATACAAGATTAAATTAATTTTCAAGTTGATTGCATTTTTCACTAAAGAGTTTCTGTTTTCATCTTTAGAAATGAAAAGCCAGGAGTCCACTGTCTTATTTGGTAAGTGATCTTTTTCCTTACCCTCTGTGACTAGCTACAAGGTTAGGGGGAAACATAAGAGCTGACTCCTAGGACTAGGGACATAACTGGACCTGGAGAGTTTAAGGAATGAGTTAAGCCAGAACAGAGGGATTCCATGCAGTGTACTAAGCACTTTTATGACTTATTTCCTTTAATCATCACTTACGTACAAACCTACGATGTATTTTTTTTGCATAAATAAGGAATTGAAGTTCACAGGGATTAAGAAGCCTGCCCAATCATAGAGCTAATAATTATGACAATAAAACTAAACCATACAGAGTCTTTTTTTTTTTTTTAAAGATTTTATTTATTTGTTTGACATAGAGGGAACACAAGAAGGGGGAGTGGGAGAGGGAGAAGCAGGCTTCCTGCTGAGCAGGGAGCCCGATGTGGGGCTCGATGTGGGGCTCTGTCCCAGGACCCTGGGATCATGACCGGAGCCGAAGGCAGATGCTTAACAACTGAGCCACCCAGGCGCCCGTAAACCACACAGAGTCTTAAACTCAGTACTGTTTTCATTTAAAAGCTGCTGTACTAGGACTGACTTATCAAGATAAGATTGGAGAGATAGGGGCCAGATCATGGAAGTTCTTGGAGTGGGCTTTGTCAGAGAATGAAGAGCCACTGAAAGGTGTTTTTGTTGTTACTGTTTTCTTCTTCCTTTTTTTTAGGGTTGGAGAGGGGGGAGGTGTAGACAAAAGAGAGCATTCACAGTGCAAGATAATTGATTAACACTAATACTCATTTCTGTCTTGAGGTATGACAAGCCATGAACCCACCCAAATACCTGGTAAGACAGCTTTCTTTTTACTCTTTGGGCCCAAGTATGAGGTGAGAAGAATTCCCCCAGGCATTAAAGAATGTATTATCATGAGACTGTTATTCATTAACAGTTCCCTTATAGCTGCCTACTAGCCATTCTACAAAGATGTAACTGGGGAAAAGAGTAGAGAGGAAAAAAAGAGTCTTTCATCTCTAGTATACGTGTGTTCCTGGAGCAGGAAAGTTAGCTTCTTAGGGGCGTGGCTGAAGCCTTCCCAAGGCTGCTGGGACCTGGAGGTATGCAAGCCAGCGCCTTCTAGGTTCTACAGCTAATGTTACTCGGTAGAAATTTCACCTTCACACAAAAGCTGACTTTTAAAAAGCTTTGGCTAACAACTCACATCTAGAATTTCCAGGTAACAAAATACAGTCTTCTGGCATATAGACAAACTCAGTGTGCGGTGCCATGGCAGAAGGCTCCTCTAAGCTTGAAGTGGATTTGCACAATGAGGGTTCTCATAGCCAGAAGTTTCAAATAAAAAGCCAGAAACTACAGTGCAGTGGGAGCTTTGGCACTTGTTATCACTTAGGCTCATCAGATAAGAGTAAAATAGACTCACTGGAGCAAACTATAAGTCACTGAAAACTTCTTTCTCATTTAGGAATGACAATTCCAGAAACTTTTTCACTACCAGGTAAGCAGTGGTTGGCATATGAGAGAGGAAGCTGCCAGTTTGGGGGGTATAGTTAATAATTGTCACCATTAGATAATGCAGGGGAGCCTAAGTGCTTTGCACAAGATCACATAAGTGAATAAAGGACCCACGTTTCTTAACTTACGACCTAGTACCCACCCATTCCTTAAGACTTGTGGTTCTTCAAGTGTTTTTCCAGTTTTATTTTACCATGGCAGATTTAACTTACCTATAAGATATAATCATGAAAATGTCAAATAGGTATTTAAACAGTGTGAGACTGTTGCTGAGGACAAGGCCATTGAGGGGCCTAGAGCTTCTGTGGCCAGAGAAACTGAACAGTAATTTCTGTCAAGTTCCTCAGAAAGGGCTTAGAACTTATGCTTACAGAGGAGGAAAAAAGGTCTCTAAACTTAATTTTTTTCCTGGGACAAAGAGAAGTAAATTTTTTAAAAAGTGGACATAATTTCCAAGAGCGCTATGGACAGTAATAACACTTCTCTGCCTCAGAATTGTTATCTTTCAAATACGGCTAATAATTGTCATGTTTACCTTATGGGGATATCTATAAGGACTAGAAAAACACAAAATCTCAGGGCGCAAGCCCCCATTTAAGCTTAAATCCTTTCTCCTGAGTTCTTGTATTTTGAAAATAATTTTTGGTATGTCTTATTATTATGGAATGAATAGCACAGTGCTGAGCTTTGCCTAACATCGCTGTCTATGGAAATAGCACAGTGCTATATACAAAGACAGCATATTCACAGTTAATCGCCTCACTCACAGATTTAGGCCCATAGAGAAGGTCCAGCAGCTCTTTTATATTCACCTGGATTTGCCATGTTGGGCCACATGTTTATTTGCTCACAACTTTGAAGTGAACCTCTAACAACACTGATGACACATCTTTTGTGTCTACAAACCTTCAACTCAGTGACCTGAGTTTGCGTAGTGTTCTCATTGGCTCCTTCGAGCCAGTGGTTATCTAAAAGGCAGCTGCTGAGCCGAGTAGGGAATGAACACAGGCTGTGTAGAGAGACTCATTTTCTCTGGGTAACTTACATATAAGTTATTTCACTTTTCTTTGCTTCTGCTTCCAAATCTGTAAAATGAAGAAAACGTCGTCTTGCAGGACTAATTAAAGTCCTAATGAGATAAAGTCTGGCAAAATGAATGGTAGTTTAAAATAGTAGTAAATGGTAGTTGTCTTTCTTATTATCTGAAATTCTCATTTAGGAATAAAAGTGGTACAACTGGATGAAAAACCTGGTAATAAATTCTTTATTGGGGGTGGAGGTATCACGGTTTTGTGGGTCCTTTACCATCACCATTCAGTTAGCTCAGTCTTAAGAGGGCAAAGGAAAACACCTGGGCTGTACAGCTTCTGATATCTCAGTCTGCAAGCGAGAGGGAGAAAACGTTGAGGAACCAGTGTGAGCAGCAGGCCGCTATTATGGGTCTCTGGGCTAAGCAAAGAAAAAGACAGTTGACTTGCAGCTGGAACAGTTGGCTTCCTGCTGCAGGGGTCTATTCCAGAATGGGACAGGAGGTTTCCCAAGGTAACGTGGGTACTGTGAGGGAATCTGTCATAATTGGAACAGCATCATCAAAGAGGTGTGTATGAGAACCCTACAGCATGAGACCAGTTCTGTGTTCCTCACTGCCCTCACCATGTCCTCCAACAAATAGGCCACTAGGTTTTGCTGGGAATATTTTGTATTCTGCACTCATCTAGAAAGCTGTGTGCAGTGCAGGCTTTTTAAAAGTGTCAAAAAACATTTACACAGGATCTTGTTTAATCCACTTAAATATTGTTACTGCCATTTTAGAGATGAAGATATGGAATATAGGAAGTTTAAGGAACCTGTAAAAGACTAGAAAGAGAAAACTAGGGACTCAGACTTTTCAAATTTTGTTCAGTTTCTGTCGTGTGACACTTGTCTTCCAACCAGATGTAGTTATAGAAAATACATCTCTATCCTGGGCTCCTAGAATTGGTATTTGGCTTCAAAGCTGTCAAAATATGGCAATATCGTAATATTTCAGTGCTAGTATAGCATTATAATTGAGGTCGTGTATCATAGTAATTGAGAGCAGAGGTTTTGAAATTAGACATTGCTTCCAGTCATTACCTCTGTGGTTTTATGCAAGTTTTGAGGAACATCTGTATAATACTGATAACTATACCTACCTATTGAGACTGTAAGAAACATGACAATGTACATCAATCATTTTCACAAAGTATGATGCATGGGAAGCACTCAGTAACTGATAGTATTAATGTTGTACTTGGGAATCTTAGTTCAATGTCCAGAAAATACTTTTTTGTAAATAAAATTTTAATCTTTCTTTTAACGGAAACACGTATACATCATAGTAAAAAAAAAATTCAGAGAGCACAAGTGAGTAAAAATTAAACACTTCTTCAACCCCACACATAAATCTAAACCTAATACTCTGCCCTGCAGGCCCATTTTCAGAGATAACCAAGTTTGCTTAATCAGATTATTCTCTTCTGGATAAATAGATGTACAATATAATTAACTCAAAATCTGTTTATATTTTAGAAGACAAAAGTCAAGAAGATGCCGGCAATCCTGGTATGAAATATTTCATTTCCTTAGTTGATAAATGTCTGATCTGCAGTATAGAAAAAGTGACAAATTTATTTTTCCTCAATAATAGGAACAAAGTTTCAAGAGTTTAAGGCATCATAGTATGGGATATAATGTCATATCCAAATGCTTGTTAGTGTGTATATTGTGGGAGTAACTTAATTTCTTAAGCAATCATTTTCAACTGTGTGTTTTGTTTAGAGCAGTGGTTCTCAACCCTATCAACCCAGTTATCCCTTTTTATAACAAATATTTATAAAGCCTTTGTAGTGTCTGGAATAACATGCATAGATAAGGAGACCTACTTGTACCCATAAGAATATCAATATAATGTCCTAATTATAATTTATAACAAAATTATATAGATTTCAATATTAAGTGCCTACATTATACTAAAAGAAATAATGGACAGATGATTGTATTACACAAATTGGATTTAAGAAAAGACTGGAAGCAATTCTGTGCAAGTTTAAGAAAATGAAAGGCAAGAAATAGAAGCTAGATAGAAACTGATGTTTATTAGAACTATCCAAAAATATTTTGTTTCTATGTAAAACTGATTCAGGTTCTGGGCTTAAGCATTATAAATAGGTTATTAACTTATATGTATGTCTGCCAGTGCATATGAAATTCGTGTGGAAGTGGGTTGGTGCAAACACTGTCCAGAGCATTGCAAGATATCTAGCCCTCTACTTTTTTTTTTTTTTTTTAAGATTTTATTTATTTGACAGAGAGAGAGCACAAGCAGGGGAAGCAGCAGGCAGAGGGAGAGGGAGAAGCAGGCTCCCCGCAGAGCAGGGAGCCCGATGCTGGGCTCGATTCGAGGACCCTGGGATCATGACCCGAGCCAAAGAGCCCTCTACTTCTACCCCACTGTTGTGACTATCAAAAAATACCTGACAGCAAACCATAACAGACTCTTAAGCATAGGGAACAAACTGAGGGGTGGGGGAGGGATAGGATAACTGGGTGTGGACATTAAGGAGAGCACGTGATGTAATGAGCACTGGGTGTTCTATAAGACTGATGAATCACGGACCTCTACCTCTGAAACCAATAATACATTATGTGTTCATTGAATTTAAATAAAAATTAAAAAAAAACAAGACAACTAAAGTAGTATGCTATTTTTAGAGATCCTGAAGATCACCTACAAATGGAAATGATTTATAAAAGGAACAAAATTTTGGAAAAGGTTAAAAACAAAAGAAGGAAATGCTCAGGATCAAGATTCTAACTCACAATTTCCTTACACTCAGCACATGCTGACAATTTTAGTAGGGATGGTCCCATTAAAGACAAATTTAACTCTTTTTTTAAAGATTTTATTTATTTATTTGAGACAACAAGAGAGCATGAGCATGGGGGAGCAGCAGAGGCAGAGGGAGAAGCAGACTCCCCACTGAGCAGGGAACCCGATCTGGGACTTGATCCCAGGACCCTGGGATCATGACCTCAGCCAAAGGCAGACGCTTAACTGACTGAGCGACTCAGGTGCCCCGACAAATTTAACTCTTAAAAAAATATATATATATATATACCCTGACAAATTCCAAACTGCCTTTTAGGGGGCAGTACTGCTCCCTTGAGAACCACTGCTCTATAGTAACAAACTAATGTATGAGTGTACCTGCCTGTCCGTTTCCCCATCTGTATACATACAACTGCATTTTTATAATTATGGCGAGTAAATTGATAATATGAGTTAAAGACAAAATTTACTGGCTGTTTCTCTTGGCTTCATGTATGAAATCTGAGTGGTGATCCCATTTGGATACTTCCCAGTCCTCCCTTGTACACTCTGAACCAAAACAACCATAATTTAGTTACAGGGAATGTGAAACAGATCATCATCCTATGAATGGACTCCACTGTTTCTCTTCACTAGTTCAGATGAAAGGGAAACCGTTTCCTCCAGACCAGTGTTTCGTGTACTGAGGGAAAAAGTTAATTTTTTTTTTTCAGCTGGCACGGCTTCGTGTTTAAAAATGCAGCTGAATTTAATCACATGTTGGTAACTATTAGCATATACATATGAAATATAGTCTTGAAATAGAATCAAACTTTACCTTGCATGTATATACAGCAAATGAAAACAAAAAATTGCTGAGAAATTCTAGAGAACTTGAACAACAACAAAAAGTATCTTGTCTACATAGATACTGAAAAGTCTGTGGAATCCTAGATAAAAACTGTCAGCACACCCAACCTGATGATAATATATGAAAATACAGCCTGAAATCTGTAATGAACTATATTTATTTCAACATTGTTCCTGGTTAGTGTTTTAGGAAAGTTTGTAGCTCAGCTTGAATGTCTACATATTAAGGATGCATGGTTTAGGTGCATGAAACTGGGTATCAGAAATGACATGTGTCAATGACTGTGTGTTCTCATTAACAGCTCCCGGTCCAGTTCCAGTTCCAGGTCCCAAAACCCATCCCTCTGCATCCTCTGGCAAAATGCTTCTTCCGCCGTTGGGGACATTCATCATTTTAATCAGTGCTTCTGCTGTAAATCTCTTTGTTGCTTTGTAGTCTAATATATTCTTTATTTACTTAAAATATACTCAAGGAATCCCACAAGAAACCATCAACAGGAATGATGTATTTTTCACTTGGTCAGAGTCACTTGATAAAATGAGAACCGAGTATTTTTTATTTACTTTGTAAATTCAGAGTTGGTCCAGATATGTCATAGAATTCATTTTTCATTTATTTCTATATTTATGACTGCAAAAGAAACCCCTGTATACTTCTGATTGAATTCAATAAAAGACTTGAAGATTGTTGGATATAATTTCAGTAGAATTGCCAGGTATTAAAATATTAGTACTGTTAGTGATTAATATGAATTTAATTCCTGAATTAGAATTTTAAAGAAGTTTTACTCATCGTTGAAGGATCAAACTTTGACTTCAAATAGTATCACCCCACAATCTCTTCATCTTCCTTTAATATATAAACACTTTATATTTCTGTAAACATGACTGTTTACCAAGTGTTTCACATATAGTCCTAACTTAAATCTCATATTAATCCAGGAAAATAGACAGTAGTGAAGGAATGTATATATGCTAAGTAAGGAAAAAATGAGATTATACAGTATGGTATTCTTTTTCCCAAGGTATTGTGGTGGTTGAATAGTGACTGATTTAGGCGTGGGCTTTGGTAACTGGCACTTGTTTACATTTTGCAGTGTTCAAAAAGGATTTAAGTCCGCCTTGAAAGATAAGAGAAAAACTACTTAAAATCTAGACTAGGTGTTACCGGTTCAGTGTGCTTTTTTAAAAAAGTTGTCTGCACACTTTTTTCCCCCAGTCTGGTTTATTTATATTTATTTATTTGGAAGGTTTTATTTATTTGTCAGAGAGCGAGCACAAGCAGGGGGAGTGGCAGGCAGAGGGAGAAGCAGGCTCCCCACTGAGCAGGGAGCCCAATGCAGGGCTCAATCCCAGGACCCCAGGATCATGACCTGAGCTGAAGGCAGACGCTTAACCAACTGAGCCACCCAGGCATCCCTATTTATATTTATACTTATTTTTATTTTTTTAAATTTTATTTGACAGAGAGACACAGCCAGAGAGGGAACACAAGCAGGGGGAGTGGGAGAGGGAGAAGCAGGCTTCCTGCTGAGCAGGGAGCCCGATGCGGGGCTCGATCCCAGGACCCTGGGATCCTGACCTGAGCCGAAGGCAGCTGCTTAACGACTGAGCCACCCAGGCGCCCCTATAATTTATTTTTAAAAATTTTAATTGAGGTATAGTTGACACACAATATTATATCAGTTTCAGGCATACAACAGTGATTTCAGAATTATAGACATTATGAAATGCTTACCACAATAAGTGTGGTTACCAGCTGTCATTATACAAAGTTATTACAATATTATTGATTATATTCCCTATGCTTTATTTCTCATTCCTGTGACTTACTATTTTATAACTGTTTGTACCTCTTAATCCCCTTTATCCATTTTGCACATCCCCCTACCTCTCTGGCAACCACCAATTCTCTGTATTTAGGGGTCCGTTTCTGTGTTTGGTTTTTTTTTTTTTTTTTTTTTTTTTTTTTTAGATAGCACCTATCAATGAAATCATATGATATTTGTCTTTCCCTGTCTGACTTAATTAGCAGAATACCCTCTAGTTCATCCTTGTCACAGATGGCAAGGTTTCATTCCCTTTATGGCTGAGTAATATTCCACTGTATATACACCACAACTTCTTTATCCATTCATTTATCAGTGGACACTGGGTTGCTTCCATATCTTGGCTATTACAAATTATGCTTCAGTGAACTTGAGGTGCATATATCTTTTGAGTTAAGTGTTTTGGTTTTCTTTGGCTAAATACCCAGTAGTGTAATTACTGGATTATATAGTATTTCTATTTTTAATTTTTTGAGGAAACTCCATATGTTTTCCATGTTGGCTGCACCAATTTACACTCCCATCAGCAATGCACAAGTGTTCCCTTTTCTCTACATCCTCACCAACACTTGTTTTTTCTTCTGTCTTTGGTACTAGGCATTCTGACTGGTGTGAGGTGATACCTCATTATGGTTGTGGTTTGCATTTCCCTAATGATTAGTGATGTTGAGCATCTCTTCATGTATCTGCTGGTCATCTGTATGTCTTCTTTGTAAAAATTCATATTCAGATCCTCTGCCGATTTTTAATCAGATTGTTAATTTTTTTGGTTAGTTGTATGAATTCTTTATATTTTTTGGGTATCATCCCTTTATTAGTATATAATTTGCAAATATGTTCTACCATTCCATAGGGTTGCCTTTTTGTTTTGTTAATGGTCCTTTGCTGTGCAAAAAGCCTTTTCATTTGATGTAGTTCCAGTTATTTCCCTCGTCTGAGGGGACAGATCCAGGAAAATATTTCTGGGGCCAATGTCCAGAAGTTTATTACTTTTATGTTTTCTGAGTTTTATGGTTTCAGGTCTCACATTTAGGTCTTTAACTCATTTTGAGTTTATTTTTGTATGTGGAATAAGAAAGTGATCCAACTTCATTCTTTTGCGTGTAGCTGTCCAGTTTTCCCAGCACCATTTATTGAAGAGACTGTCTTTTCCATGTTGTATATTTGTCCTTCTTTATCATAGATTAATTCACAGTATAAATATGGGTTTATTTCTGTCCTCTCCAGTCTGTTCAATTGATCCATTTGTCTTTTCTATGCTGGTACCATACTGTTTTGAACACAACAGATTTTATAGTGTAGTTTGAAATAAAGGGGTATGATACCTCCAGGTTTGTTCTTTCTCAAGATTGCTGTCACTATTTGGTGTCTTTTGTGGTTCCATACAAATTTTAGCATTATTTGTTCTAGTTCTATGAAAAATACTATTGGCATTTTTATAGGGATTGTTCTGAATCTGTAGATTGCTTTGGGTGGTATGGACATTTTGTTATTCTTCCAGTTCATTAGCACAGTATATCTTTCCATTTATCTGTGTCATCTTCAGTTTCTTTCATCAGTAATCTTAATAGTTTTCAGAGTACATACAGTTCTTCTACCTCCTTGGTTAAATTTGTTCCTAGGTATTTTGTTCTTTTTGAGGTAATTGTACGTGGGATTGTTAATTTCTCTTTCTGATAGTTACTAGTATATAGGAACACAGCAGATTCTGTATATTAATTTTTTATCCTGCGACTTTACCGAATCATTTATTAGTTCTGGTAGTCCTTTGGTGGAGTCTTTAGGGTTTTCTGTATATAGTGTCATGTCACCTGCAAATAGTGACAGTTTCATTTCTTCTTTACCAATTTGGATGCCTTTTATTTCCTTTTCTTGTCTGATTGCCACAGCTAGGACTTCCAATAGTATGTTGAATAAATGTGGTGAGGGTGGAAATCCTTGTCTTGTTCCTGATCTTAGAAGAAAAGCTTTCGGCTTTTCACCATTGAGTTATGTTAGCTATAGGCTTGTCATATATGGCTTATTATTATGTTGAGGTACGTTCCCTGTCTACCAACTCTGTTGAGAATTTTTATCATAAATGGATGTTGAATTCTGTCATGTTTTTTCTGCATCTTTTTTTTTTAAAGATTTTATTTATTTGTCAGAGAGAGTATAAGCAGGGGGAGCAGAAGGCAGAGGGAGAAGCAGGCTCCCCACTGAGCAGGGAGCCCGATGCAGGACTCGATCCCAGGACCCTGAGATCATGACCTGAGCTGAAGGCAGACGCTGAACCGACTGAGCCACCCAGGCATCCCTTTTCTGCATCTATTGAAATGATTTATGCTTAATTTTGTTAATGTGATACATCATGTTGATTTATTTGTAGATATTGAACTGTCCTTGCATCCTTGAAATAAATTCCACTTGATTGTGGTGAATGATCCTTTTTTTAATGTATTGTTGAATGCAGTTTGTGAATATTTTGTTGAGAATTTTTGCATCTATGTTCATCAGGGATATTGATCTGTAATTTTTTTTTTTTTTTTGTAGTGTCTCTTTCTGGGTTTGGTATCAAAGTAATACTGGTCTCGGTAGAATGAATTTGGAAGCATTCTTTCCTATTCTATTTTTTGGAATGTTTGAGAAGGATAGGTATTAACTCTTCTTTAAATGTTGGGTAGAGGACACCTGTGTGGCTCAGTTGGTTATGTGTCTGCCTTCAGCTCAGGTCATGATCCCAGGGTCCTGGGATCGAGCCCTGCATCAGGCTCCCTGCACAGTGGGGAGCCTGCTTCTCCCTCTCCCTCTGCCTTTCCCCCTGCTTGTGCTCTCTGTCAAATAAATAAATAAAACTTCTTTAAAAAAATAGGGATGCCTGGGTGGCTCAGTGGGTTAAGCGTCTGCCTTCGACTCAGGTCATGATCTCAGGGTCCTGGGATCGCGGGGAGCCTGCTTCTCCTCTACCTACTGCTCCCCCTGCTGTGTGCTTGCTCTCTCTCTCTCTTTCACTCTCTCTGACAAATGAATGGATAAAATCTTTAAAATAAATAAATAGATAGATAAATAAATGTTGGATAGAAATCACCTGTGAAGCCGTCTGATCCTAGACCTTTTGATGTTAGGAGTTTTTTGATTACCGATTAGATTTTGTTACCAGTAATTGGTCTGTTCACATTTTCTGTTTCTTCCTGATGCAGTCTTGGAAGATTGTATGTTTCTGGAAATTTATGTATTCTATGTTTAATTTGTTGACATACATTTTTCATAGTAGTCTCTTATAATCCTTTGTACTTCTGTGGTGTCGGTTGTAACTTCTCTTTCATTTCTGATTTGTTTGGGTCCTCTTTTTTTTCTTGATGAGTTTGGTTTAAGGTTTATCAATTTTGTTTTTCTTTTCAAGAAACAGCGGTTTCATTAATAATTTTTATATTTTTTTTAGCCTGTTAATTTCTGTTCTGATCTTTATTATTTCCTTACTTCAACTAACTTTGGGCTTTGTTGTTTTTCTCATTCCTTTAGGTGTAAGGTTAGATTGTGTGACATTTTTCTTGTTTCTTGATTATCAGGTTTAGTGCTATAGACTTTCCTCTTAGAACTGCTTTTGCTGTATCCCAAAGATTTTGAA